TCAGAGTTACTGTTTACCCTCTAGGCGCTCTGCAGCGAGAACCTGGCCCAAGTCCACTTTGTCATGTTAGAACACAGCAGTTTCTGAAATCCTCCCTTTATTCTTGAGAAATGCTGTCTCTGATGGTTTGACTTTATATTTTGTTTGTCCTGCTGTTGGACTCTCTCCTGTTGCATGAGCTCTCACCCTTGAGTCGTTGCAAGGTAACTCTAACTGGGTAGTTTGACTTTGTTTATCAGTTACCGTGTTCAGGATGGGCTTTTCTTAATAAGAGCTAAGCCAGTTACAACATTATTTTAGCTCTTTGTGTAGCAAATGGAATATACTGTGAATTCCAGTTGCCTTTGGTTGGTTCTAAACATGTAAAGTTATAACCATGGTTGAAATCATTTTTTAAAGCATTAAAATTACATAAAGTGTTAAAACTATACAACCTCATTTTCTTATATGGTAATAGCAAGCATTTGCCTAGTGCTTCCTTTGTGTCAGATTATGTTCTAATCATTTAAAGTATAAATCATTTAATCCTTATGACAATGCTAATAAATAGACATATTATCATTGCTATTTTACAAATGGGAAATGGAGGTACAGAAAGGTTAAGTAATTTGCCCAAGGTCACATAGCTAATAGGTGATTGAGCTGGGGCTTGAATCTGGGCAGGCCAGGGCCCATGCTCTTAACTACTGCAATGCATTGCTCTTCACCAATTTAAAAGTTGCAGCTATGTGGACGGGAGTTGAGTTAAATGTTTACAAAATATCATTCATTCATTAATTATTTTTTATTTTTATTGAACTTATTGGGGTGACATTGGTTAATAGAATTATAAGATTTCACGTGCATGATTCAGTAATATATCATTTATATATTGTATTGTGTGTTCCTCACCACCAGGAAAAAAATAGCATTAATTCAAGATAGAGAGCTGATTCTTACTGAAAATTACATCTATAGGCTCATTGAAAAAGAACCTGAAGGGCTTTTTTTGGCAATAATTTTTCATTTAATTTGCTACTAAAGTGGTTACATATGGAAGGAATAAAATCATATATCTTGAAAATCTTACAAAGATCAGGTTTCTTAAGAAAACAAAACCATTGTAGCTTTTTCTTTGTAATGGGCCGAAATAGTGCTGTAATGAACTACTTTAATATAGGTAGCTGATGTTTATTTGAAAGTACCTTTAAAGACTTTTTTCACAATAAATCTTATTTTGCTGGTCGGAAGCCCATTGTTTGCAGTGATTATGCTTCAGTTAATAAAAGAGTAGAGGCCTTATAAGCCTGTCATCTTCTGATTTGTCAGTGTCTGTTCACTTCTAGATCCTATTACCTGTTGGTGTCCTTTGACAAGCATGAGCCACGGCTGACCCAGACAGTTACAATGCAGAGGTCTTCTGGGACAATTTTATAGTTGCAATGAGTAACTCAGCAAATCTACATGGCAGGTTGTGGGCGACAGATCTAGAGAGGAGGTAGATTTCCCCTCCTTACTGTTATATAGTCATGCGCCCTCTCCCCCCAAACCCCCACAAGACTCAGTGCAATCCTTACCTAATGGACAGGATGATGCCACTATCCTGGCAGGTTTCCCAAAGTGTAAGGTAAATTCTTCTGGGCTCCATCAGACTTGGAGATGGTATCTTAACCTAACATTAGATGACAGCGGATCACATTGTAAGGGAGCTATTTCTTTTTCACGGATTTTTGACCTTCCTGCTCATTCAAGGAGAAAGTGGGTTTGTTGCCACTGCATCTTTAACACTGCTGAGTCCTGCAGAATCTCCCTTACGACAAAGAGCAGGCACTTTGTAGATGCTCAGATGTTTAGTCAGAATGCAGTTTCATTGTTTTGTTTTTATTATTTTATTATTATACACTGGCACCAGACCATTTGGGGTAACATTTCATTTGGTTCTATGTTTTAAAATTAAATATGTCAATTATTTGCAGATGTTTTATTAAATATCTTGCACAGTTCCCATTTAAAGTAAGGCCAGGAATTTCTTGGAAAATTGGTTTTATTTAAAGAGTAAAAGGAGAGTTAATCTAAAGACAAGTTGTAGAGCATAGAAAAAATACAGGATGAAATGTAGATATGGAAAATTGTGAACTTGGTAGAGCAAGGATAAAATCTTGGTCTAATACCTGCTATGGTTGATTTTGTGGAGATCCACAGTTTTTTCTTTGAAACTCTTGGGACCAGACTTGTTTTGGAATTAGGAATGTTCATGTTTTTTGGTATAGTTTGTATAATATATATGCTATGAGTCCCATTGGGAACACTGGGGCAATGCTATCATCAAGCACAATAATTCTGCAGCAGGAGGTATGACCGTTCACACCAAAGTGGGGTAAATAGAGACTTTACATGACCTCGTGTGGATTCAGGTTAGATTTTGCCACCACATTTGTTTTTAAAACAAACTTAGGGGGGAAAAATTTTTGATTTTTCAGAGCATTTTGGATTTCAGAATTACAGATAAGAGGTTATGGGCCTATCTTGTAAATAAATCACATCATTTTCCAAAACACTGATTAAATTAATCATGCAGAAAACAAAATTAGATTCCAACTTGGTCAAAGTAACCAAAGTAACTCTTCCACCTTTGAGTTTATTTTTACTGCCTGGGTATGATTTCCTTATAGACTAGAGGCCCGATGCATGAAATTCGTGCAAGAGCAGGCCTTCCATCCCCCGGCTGCCGGCACTGGCTTCCCTCTGGCACCCAGGACCCGGGCTTCCCTCTGGCCACTGGCAGGCACCCAGAACCCGGGCTTCCCTTGCAGCCCCGGCTTCATCCCTTTATCCGGGAGGACGCCTGGTCTAATTAGCATATTACGCTCTTATTATTATAGATTCTGACCTGCCACACAGTGCCAGGTAGATTTGTTTGTGGAAGAAAAGTTGAATCCAAATGACTCTTACCTGTGTGAGTGAAAATAGAAGTGGTTCCTGGTCCTGCTCATCCTTGAAGTGAGGGTCGGTTGTGAGCACAGAGCTGGCTATTTTGGTAGTTCCGAACATGGCTATCGGATGACTGGGCAGTGCATACACTGACACCAGACCATTTGGGGTAATATTTCATTTAGTTCTCTGTTTTAAAATTAAATCTGTCAATTATTTGCAGATGTTTTATTAAATATCTTGCTAGTTCCTTAGTCTAATAATGAATGAAGTTTTGATTCGGCAGTGATGGAAATGGTTAAAAGGGGCATAACCAGCCTCTCGAGTGTGATGGCAGACATGCCAGGTGTGTTACAGTCTGTGAACTTAGGACATGAGAGCAGTTAAGCTGGATTAATGACCCTTCAGAGGACCATGTTGAGTTATTTATGATTGTTTTTCTAACAGGCTGTAAAATGACAAATGAGCAAGTATTTTCTTACCTCAGAACACAGTGAAAGGGTTTTGTCAGGGTCTTGATTTATAACCTTTGGAACATGCTTTTATTTTGTGTAATTAGAATAAAAATGGATAGTAATTGGTCATAAAGGTTATTCTTGTGAAGTATTTGTGGGCTTTGTGTGTTATATTGCTAGCTATTTAAATGAATTGATAAGAGAAGACATGACAGATATGAGAAGATAATGTTTTACATTTCCATTGTATATTTCCTCAAGGAGCTTAATAAAAATCTCAGTTGAGTGTTCTGTGGGGAAGAGAGAGATGTAGGTGGAGAATCTGAAGCCAAGGCCACTTGGCTCATACAATCCATATATCTCTATAACTTCTGTAATTTCATCTGGGACCTTCTACGAAGGAATAGATTTTTTTTATTCCCAGTACATCAGCCCAACAGTTATTAATATTTTTAAAAATTTTCTGATTCAGTTCTATGGGTTTACTTGGGTTTTATGCTATGACATAGGCAAGACATGTCATATACTATGACATGGAATAAGTGCCATTTCTGATGGAATACAGGCAACATGATTCCTTCTGTATTCATGCAAAAAAACTTAATGGAATGTCAGTGAGGACGTCATTTGCTATGGATATAACATTGAATCTATCCTATTAAATTAATGTACAGCTATTGATAATTTATTATAACACACCATGATCAGTATTAATGGCCTTGTACCTCACTAATGGCTTTGTACCTCACATTGAACATGGTTAAAACCACTATTAACAAAATATAATGATAGTGACAATGTTTATTGAGCACTTACTAAGTACGTAGGCATGTGTTAAGTGTTTACATGTCTGAACTAATTTAATCCTCATAACTATACAATGAGGAATAATAATAATAATAATAATCCACTTTTACAGATGAGGGAGCCCTGTAAAGGTATCGGGAGATTAGGCAATTTAGCCAAAGACACAAGAAATGAAGCATTCTGGCTTCTCTATGGTTTATTGCCTTCAACTTTTGTTCCCTACAAATACAGTAACACCTCAACTCTCTGGGAAACCTCTTTGAGCAACCTCATCTATTTGGAACAAATCCGAGGACATAGAAGCAAGCAAAAACATTTCTGTACCTGAAATGGAGGCAAAGCTGTGTCTGTGAGAGTATGCATATTCAGCAGGCAGTCAGGGCCAGAACTGTGAGGCTGCGTGCTGTCGCGGGTCCTTTAGTAGAGGGTCTGGAGCCTGAACACCTCAGTGGCACCTGAGGGTCACAGTGCAATCACTGATGCTTCCAAGTGATTCATAAAGTGAATTTTAGTTTAATCTGCTAGAAATTGAAAGCAAAAGTCTCATTGATTTTATGAAAATCTCTCATGACTAGAAAACTAGTGCTTGAAATGGGCACATACTTATCTAGAACGAAGCATTCTTTAGGACGGTTTTAGATACTGAGAAGGTTTGGATGTAGAAAATAACATACTTGGAGGTAGTTCTGAATAAGTGGAGGTAGCAAAGTGCCATCTTTAAAAATATAATCTTGATTGTTTTTTTCTTATAGTTGAATTAAGAAGGCAAAGGTTGACTGTAAAATAAATTCCTCTACTTTATTTCTCCTGTTTTCACTTCTCCTCTAGATCGCTCCTGTGATGTCCTCAGAAAATCCAAGCAGCCCCCAACGTTCCACGCTGCCGGTGGGCTTTCTGACATGCTGAACGGTGGCGATGAAGTCTATGCTAGCTGTATGGCGATAGATCAGGTAAGGTGGGACTGATGTTCCGAGGTGGATCGGCCCTCTTTCTAAGCCCGAGCATGTGAGAAATAGATCCAGCATCGCTGTGTTCCTCTGGGAGCTTTAGCCTAAGTGCAGCCCTGGTGATGCTACAGTGGGGTCCCATCATGTGAGCATTTAACTGAGGTCCTTCCTTCAGCACGGCACATCTTACCCAAAGCGCACCACGAGGGAGGGGCCTTTGACACGGCCCAAAGAGAGGAGAGTGAGAGCTCTCCTATTGGGGCCAAAATAGGAAATGACAATTGCGAGGCCAGTTTTTTCTCTACAGCTTGTCAGAAAACAAGGGTGTGTGTGATTTGCTCTTGCAGTATTTGTATTCAAAGCCAGCAGGAGCTGGGTGAGCAAGAGCTTGACGCCAGCCCCATACGATGCTGTCATATAAATTACTTGTTTAATCCTTACGACACACCCATGAACATGGAATAAGGTTGTAGAGCTTTAATATTAAAGCAGAATGGTGTCATGTTACAGGGAAGCTGGAACCCTTCAGAGCTCCCCGCCCATTCCCTGATAGAAATTTGTGAGTTAAAGCTCATGAAGGCAAGTGGTTTGTGCATCTACATATGGATTTATCCTTCATTCTTTTCTGAAGCTCAGTCACCCTTGATTTTAAAAAATTTAATTTTAAAAATTTATCTTTATTGTTAAAAGTATTATGGATGTCCCCCTTCCCTGCATTGACCCCCTCCCCCCACTTCCATCCCCTAATATAGTTATCGATCAGAAGATTTCTGCACACTCTAATTCAGTGGTTCTCAACCTTCCTAATGCTGCAACCCTTTAATACAGTTCCTCATGTTGTGGTGACCCCCAATTTCATTGTTACAAATTCAACATAATTAAAGCATAGTGATTAATCACAAAAACAATATGTAATTATATATGTGTTTTCCTTTGGTCTTAGGCGACCCCTGTGAAAGGGTCGTTTGACCCCCAAAGGGGTTGCGACCCACAGGTTGAGAACCACTGCTCTAATTTATGGTAGGTTTAAGGGATTCAGGGTAATTTTGACAACATAATTTCTGTTTTATCCACTAACTTTAAAGCCTAATTCCCATATAAATGCACCATAAATATGCTCCTTGAGCAATATGGTATTTTACCCTTTTTGTTGTTAGTATGCATATATTATACCTTATTTTTTATAGATGTTTTCTGTCTACTAGATCTCAATTTCATCTCCTAGTCATATATCTCTGCTTTTTTCTTTTTGTGTTATAAAACACTGTTACCTCAAATGCATTGTATAAATGCATAGGGCGGGACGATATTCAAAATGACTAAGATATGAACATCAGGACATGGACATCAGGCTATGAAAACTGGTATATGTTTTGGTATAAAGCAGCTGAATGTGTTCCTATTTATGAAATCTAGAATGAAGCACAGAGTTTGGGACAAAGTGGGAGTTCTGGGGACATTCTTTGAAGATACAGGCTAACTGGACTTGGTGTGCTCTAGCCACCTTCTGATTTTACTGCTTTTATTCTGTTGCCTTATTTCCTAAGCATTTGCATGAAATGCTTCTTGAGTTCTTAATTTTTTCGTTTGTTCTAAGCCTCAGTGAACACTGTAACATTTTCACTTACCTCAAGTAACTAAAATTGTACGACTCGCTATTAGGAGGAGAGAACCGTGTCTTTATTTGTTCTAAGATACATTAAAAATACACTGAACATGAAGTTAAGATGTGATCGTTTGGTGTTGTTTTGAGTGAGAGAAGTATTGCTCTAGTAATGTGAAGCATACACTTGAAGAGGACTCAAGCTGGCTAATTGGTAAACTGAAACATAGCAGAGGATCGCCAAATGCATGCAGTGAAAACAGAAATGAAACTGAAAACCTGGATACAAATCACAAAGTTCTCTATGTCAGTGTGGCATGGCCAACATATCATTTATCTCACTGTCCCTGTGTCCATTTGAATAACAAGAACAGAGAGTCCAAATTCTGCATGTTTAAAACAATTTCTAGCAATATCTAGAAAAAAATCTTAATCTATTTCCTTCATCCCCTCAACATGGCACAGAAACCTAAAAAGATTGCTAGCTTGTTTGCAATGCTGTTTCCTATAAATTCTCAAGGTTACCAACCTATCTGATGAGGCAATTCACATGATAAAGCTACTTTGAATATCAAAACCAGGGAACCATCATCTCTACAGTACTGTTAGCAGTGTACCACTCTTATTCAATTTTAGCCAGTTGTCCCAAAGTCCTCTGTAGCAAAAGTAAATTCAACTACGTGAGTTGTAATGAGTTGTCATGTGTTTGTAGTCTCCTTTAATCTGGGACAATTCCTTAGTCAACTTTTATGACATTGGTAATTTTACTGATGATGTTATCTTTGGTCTACCAAATTTATTTTCAATAAAGTCATTATTTTAAAAAAATTAAGTATCTTGTGGGAGACAGTTTCAATCATTGCAAATATCCTGTTAGTCATTTGACTTGCACCCATCAGTTTGAGCATTGCGCGAGTGTTTTTGCCTTACTAAATTATCATTATGATGGTTGGTTTAGGACCCTAAATTTCCCCCTTTTGCTTCATTTCCCCTTCACCACTCTATATGTAAATAGTGTCATTCTCTTTCTTTTTACTGTTTTCTCCCCCAGAAGTGATGCCTTTTGATGAGTGACGCCTCAGATCGCCTGTGTCTTTAAGCCCCTTTCTTAGACAGGTGCTTTGATCAGCTGGGACTCCTTTTCACCTGTAGACTTTCTCTTCCCATGATAATTGTTAGGGGCCACCTCCCTGGTCTCTCTGCCATGCAGATTTTTGAGACTGTCCTTTCTGCAAAGGTGTCTGGTAAGGGTACGACAGGTTGCTTCCTGAGATTCGGTGTTTATTTCATTGTTTCCATGTAATTTGAATTTCTGGGCATTTTCTATCTTCTAGCTATGCTAAGCCCATGCATCTTCTGTAGTTTTATTTGTATTTTTGTTTGGGAGTGTTTTATGTGACCACCTCTACCTTGTTTACTCAAATTTCTATAAACTGCTTTATAAATCAAGCTGTCTGCTCCTCAGTTGTTTTTCTTGAGTATTTAAAGCATTTCCTCTCATTTTAAGTGGTTCACAAAATCTTAAAATGCTCAGTTGGTCTTTTTCCTTTTGTGAATTATGGGATAGCAACCAGGTGAACAAAAACATCATGAAAGAATTCTCTGCTTATATGAAACAAAACAAGAACAAGTAAGACCAGATAACTAAAGTGGAAGGTTTTTAAATTGGGAGAAATTTATTCTTAACTAAGCCTATCTGTCCTGCTTTTGCTTAGGGAATACTTTTCTTTTGTCTACCAGGTTGGTGATTTGGATATTAACTATATAAACCTAGAGGGAGTCACTACACACACCTGCCCTGAGTCCATGGATTCTGCTCTGACACCTCAGAGCGGCAAGCATATCCTTTGTACCGAAACCAGCCCTGGCAGGCACCCGCTCCATGAGAACAAGGAAGTGACGTCAAATACTGAAGCCCAACAGTCCTTCCCATCGCCATCTAGTTCATGTGCTTCCAACTTAAATCTTTCTCTTGGTCTCCATGGATTTGAAAAGGAACAAAGTCATCTAAAGAAAAGAAGGTAAGGTACTCTATTTTAGAGGAAAATGTAGAAAATCAAAGAACCTTATAGCGGAAATTGGAAAATTCTATTTTATTTTCTATTGTCCCTACCATTTTTGTCTCTACATAAAAATGTTGCCCCTTTTTGATTTCTATATTCCTTGATTTGAAAGTAAGACAGTTAAGGAAACTGGCAAAAAAAACAAAATAGAAGAAACCCATAACTTTGGCAATATTTTCATATTTTAATGAAAATGCATATAATGGAAGCTCCCATTTATGTAGATAGAAGTAAAAATTGTCTAAAAACTTTGGAAACTAATTTGGATATGCATTTTATGACCCAGCAGTTTTACTTCTGTGTTTTAAGAGACATATGGATGAGTACGTGTGGAGCAGAAAATAACCCCAATGGGGAATGAGTAGGTAAATTACAGTATAGTTACACAAAGGAGTGCTATACAGTAGGGAAAATGGACGACAGCTACATACATGACATGCATCACAGAAACACGAAGTTCAACAAAAAGTAAGGGACAAAGTACTTTAGTTAGATGTCGTTTTTATAAAATGCAAGCCAAACAAAATCAAACAATTTATTATTATAGGGCCAATGCATAGTGCTTAAGCTATTAAAAAACAGACAAGCACGATAACGAAGAGGGAAAAAATACCCAAATTCAAGATAGTTATTACATCCAGTGGGGAAAGTAGGGAATGAGAATGGAAAGGAATAAAAAGGGTTCAATGGTATGGCCAATGTTCACATTTCAAGTTGGGTGGGATCATAGGTGTTTTATTTTTATGCTTTGTAACTTAGTTACCTTGCACATATTTTCAAAATATTTATTTGAAATACAAAAGTGTTACTTATGCAAAAGTATTATTATAACAATAGTTTTGATATGATAGTATATATTTACATGTGTGTATACACATGTATGTTTGTATTTTTGCATCTGTTTCTTGTCCACCCGTTCATTGTCTATTTTCTTTAGGAAATAGACCAACGTCTGCTAATTTCATTTTATTCTGCTGTTCACTTTCCTTAGGTAATAGCTTATTTCTCTTCCCCAGGCCTCTGATTGTATGCTCATTTTCACACACAAAATCTGAATGTAGAATACACACACGTGAGTGTGTATGTAATTATTTACGAATGAGCATCCACATAGGTAGACACGTGTTCAGCAGAGATGTAACTGGTCAGAAAGAAGAGCGAGGGAGGATAAGCAGCAATCTCCAGGTGCCAACCCCTGTGCTGTACTTTACACGGTATACGAGCCCTTGCGGTTGGAACACTTTATAAACAGGTGTTGGTACCAAGGGTAACGTCTGATACATAAATAATGAAAGATTTTCTTTAGATTTGTATTTTTTGGAATGATAGTTTAAAAGATGCCGAGCGGTCATGGCTATGAATTAAGTTGACGGGACATTTTGGGTTCTCCACGTGTGTTTGCGACAAGAGGCGGTCAGGTTAGTCAAAGCAAGAGTCTATATCTATACAGTTCTGCAAGCACAGATTGAACTGTGTGTTATCAGTGTGTTCTCGTGGGACTCTCGGGATCTGTCCAGCTTGTGATCCAGTCTCCAGAAGTGAATGAGCTCTTTAGGAATAGAGGCAGGAAAGGGTGCACGTGGTCTCTTGTTCTGCTTATGCAAACATGTTCTCATGATGGTCCTGTTCTGGGACGTTTCAACATCTCGCTGCTGCAGCTAGAATTTTGCCATCTTAAAATATAAGAAAAAATTATCCGTTTGAATAAAGGCAATTAGAAACCTCGTTAAAAATGTCACAGCTGATGGGGGGTGGTGGGAGAGGGTGGCAGACAAGGAGAGGAAGATGTACTGAGAGAAAAACCTTCCAGCTAGTGTTGCAGCCAATGTCTCCTGCACATTCTGTCTCCTCTGGAAAATGTAGGAATGAGAAAAAAGGACTTGTGATCCCCAGCAAGCCCCACTTTGAGCCTGGGATGGCCATGGGACCCCCGCGCCCCCCCCCTGCCACTGGTGTCATGGTGGGAGTGTGTAATACAAATGATAATGAACTTGACGTGAACTATACCCCTTTTTAAAAATAAGTGAATCATAGGCTGAGAGGCAAGGAGGAGAAATTTGGGGGCACACAATAAAAACTGAGGTTAACACAGGGACAAAGCTGGCTGGGACCCAAGTTTTCTAAAGTTAAAAACAATATTTTGGTGAAAGTAAAATTGTATGCATAATATGTAACCATTATGTTATTTAAAATTAATAGGCATTTTAAGAAGTTACAAGGGGGAAATAAGCAATGCAACACTTATTTTAACAAACTTTACAGCAAAAAATTAGTTGATAGAAGACAAATTTTGTTCTGTTCTAAAATATATCTTTAAAACCATTTTTGTGTCTTGTTTTCCACAGTAAGAAATGCTTGTCACACCATGAGCCCCCCTCTCCCATTCACATAAAGTTTAAATGTTTTATGAAATAACAGGTGGAATGTATTCTGATATTTTTTACTCTATACTATTTTAAAAGAAAATTCTGGTCACCACCTACTGAATCAATTTCATAGCCCACTAATGGGTTTTGAAAAATGGTATAAAATGAGAACCTAGAATAATTGTGAAAAATAATGTCTATAATATTGAATATCTTAGATTAATAACAAAGAAAAACTGTAGCCCAATTTAGATGAAGAGGAAATGAACGGTTTTCAAGTATAGTATGCAAAATAAAATAATACTCACTAATCCGTCTAAGATTTATTCATAGTGATGGAGAAATGCTGTATATACGTACCTGGAAAGTTGTACTAAAATAGGGTATTCTTGCAGGCAACTGACTATTTGAACTAATTTTCATTAGTATAGAGATCACAAGTTGGAAGACAAACTCAGAGGCACAAGATATCAGCAAACCTTTGACCTCCCACCCCACCCCAGATCTCTTTCTACCCTCAGGTGATCATTGAATTAAGAAAACTACATACCACAGCACCGTAATTACATCACTATAACATTCAGAGCACTGACATATACTGGGAAGTTTTTCTTAACACTAAGCTTTAGTTTTTTATGAGAAATACATATTTTTGTTGTTGTTAATCCTTACCTGAGGGATATGTTTTTTCCATTGCTTTTCACAGAATGGAAGGGAGGGAGAGAAACATTGATGTGAGAGAGATACATTGATTGGTTGCCTCCTACACATGCCTGATCAGGGGTGGGAGCAAACCACAACCCAGGTACGTGCCCTTGATCCAGAATCAAACCTGAGACCTTTCGATGTATGGGCCACTGCTCTAACCACTGTGCAGCACCGGCCAGAGCGATAAATAATTTTATGTACTCCAACATATTTTAGTGTTGAATTAAAAGTGTGAAGTCCACCTCCAATTTATCTTCCCTTTCTCAGTGCCAAGATGAAGGGTCTCAATGTGTTCTTTAAGGAGAAAATTCCACTTTAGAAACCTCAGTGGTGCCAGGCCTGGCCTTTACTTACCTACAGGTTTGCCGGTGCCCAATAGGGCCCATGAAAAAGTTCAAGGACCAGAGACTGATCTTAGTGTTTGGACTAGAGACACATATAGGACCATGTGTCATGTAATTTATTAAGTTGATATTCAGTGGCTATTAAATAGTCTATGGTTTTTTTTTTTAAGAAAAGTAACCCAAAAGAGTTATTCAAAGTTTTATTTTCTAGTTATATTTTATAATCAAGATGGTTTCATTATATTGTTTTTAAATTTTATCTTCAGAACTGTAACAACCAAAGAAAAATACATTAAAAAATGCACTGTTTGTTTTTTCATTTGTTGCTTTTTTTATATACAGACAACAGAATAGTAGTTACCAGAGGGGATGGGGGTCAAGGGAGGACAAAGAGGGTAAAGGGGATCAAATATATGGTGCCGGAAGGAGATGAGGCTTTGGGTGTGAGCAAACAATGGAGTTTACAGATGTTGTTTTATAAATTGTACACCTGAAATTTATATAATGTTATGAACCAATGTTACTCTGATAAATTTAATTTTAAAAATTCACCGTGCAGTGAACATGCCAGTAAAAGCTGTTGACCTCAGAGTTTGGTTTAAAATGTGAATGTTAAGGAATGAGCCAGGAATGTGGAAGGTCACATTCTTTCCTTTAAATTCCACGGTTATCACAGCTACACGAGGAGAGAAAAGCTTTATAGTTGAGCGGAGTTACTACCTGCTTCTGGGATGGATTTTCATGGGATGATTTTTTAAATGTTTCTAAACATGATAATTTAATATGACACATTTGGGACCTCACTGGGTTCCTGCCTGACCCGGGTCGTGACAGCAACTCTGGGTGAGACCTTTGCACATCTCTCCTTCCCGGTGCCTCCACCCCCTGAGCTCTCCGGCCCGGGGACACAGAGAGAAAGCCATTCAGCATATGCTCACATGCAGTTCCCCAGAGCCGCCCCTCAAACAGCCCAGTGGCTCTGTTTTGTCTGCATTCTTAATATGTGAAGGGTAACTATTTGGGGCTTGCCATAATCACATTTACAAAACAGAAATTGGATAACACTAACTTGAACCAGCTTTTGTTTCTTAGAGTCCTGACATGGCTTTAGCTAGGTAGAAATGTTCACGTGGGGAAGCAACATTTTGTTGAAAATGAGGATATTTGGGGGAGGAAAAACAATAAAAACTACTTACATATAAATTTTATTAGAAATTGGCCCCAGCCGGGTAGCTCAGTTGGTTGGAGCATTGTCCCAATACGCCAAGGTTGTGGATTGGGTCCCTGGTCAGGACAGATACAATAATCAGCCAAGAATGCATAACTAAGTGGAACAACAAATCAGTGTTTCTCATTCTCTCTCTTTCTCTCAAATCAATAAATAAAAGTAAAAAAAAAGAGAAGAAATTAAATGCGTAACCATTATACTTTATACCAGTGAAGAATTTGAATTCAGAGAAATAGTAACCAACTCTGTTGGCTTCCTTGGTTTTTTACTTATTTGCTTACCTTGTGCTCCAGTTCCAGCCTCGATGCCCTGGATGCAGACAGTGAAGGGGAAGGGCCTGCGGAGCAGGCACACCTGTGCTACACGCCCGTGTCGCAGAGTTCCTCCAGAACCGGGATTCCCAGTGGGGATGAATTAGACTCTTTTGAGACCAACGCTGAACCAGATTTTAACATCTCCAGGACTGAGTCACTTTCTCTATCAAGTAACCTTCAGTCAAAGGTATTCTGATTGGTATTAATGTGGCTTATTCTAAGCGGGGGAAATGTGTTGTCTGATTCTATCCATCTTTGAAAGACAAATGATGTTTTATTCACATGTATAAACTTTTTTTTTTTTGGAGGCCTCATGCGCTGGCTGATTGAGCCTGTCTTTTTCATCTTTCCCACTCTAATCTGTATGGTCCTTACTTACAGGGGACGATTTGTTTTCATCAGTTCAACACTAGTACATACAACCTTTCACATACTTGGAATATTTTACCATTGTACATAATAATTCCTACTATCATCTCTTAAGCAAAGGGAGAAAAACTGGTAGTATTCAGTGGGTTTCTGATCAAATTTGTTTTGCTCACATAAGATTTTGCTTGGCCCGGGGGATGAGGTAAATCATGTTACTAAGTCAGATGATGTTTGTTTAGCATTC